CAAACAGCCAGTAGCAATATTCAAAGTGATTTCACAATCAGAATATTTTCTTTCAATATAATTTTTTGGATCTCATGAAGAATAGGAACACCTACTTATTTCACCTGATGGTTAAACACCCTTATGCTCATTGGAGGGGTAAGGTTAGGTGTTTAGTCATCAGGTGATATAAGTAGAGGTTCACAATCTTCATGAGAACCAAATTATGGTTTAATCTGCAACACTTTATCAGATCCCCCAGTTTTCTGTCTAATTTTCTGCAACTACCAGTACCTGATCTCCTAGCTCTTTATCTGATTAAATTTTGGTCAAACTAGCAACTCTCTTTTGGATCCCATGTTCCCTACGCTTTTTTTTTTTTTTTTTAATCTTATCTATAAGCTGGGACTCCTTTCACATCATCATCTGCAAAGTTATTGGTAATACTGAAATAGAGTACAGTATCACATATTAACAATGAACTTGGGGAAATCTTTCCAACCTGTAATATAAATGCTTTCTTACCTCAAGTAAATGCCATAAAGTAAAGAGGATATGAAATATGAAAAATAAAAAATGCACTTTTGCTATTTTTTTCTGTCCTCATGATTAACTGTACATCAACAGTGTAGGACACCATATACATTATTTACCTATGTGGAACACTTACTTTCATCCACAGGAATGCCTCTAAATGCCAACATAACCTACCTAGGTTAGATAAGGTAGGGCGAGTAATTTTTATCTCCAATAAATCATGAATGAAACTTTTCAGGAGGAAACCGCCAAAATAATACTATAGAGGCATACAGTACAGTACTGTTATATGAAATTTGCAAATCCTCATGTTTTTTAATCACCACAATAACATTATAAAATTTAGTAAGAAACTCAGCATCTTCTATACAAAAATATTAAAAAGTTGATGGCTCTTGGTGTACTGTATATATAACAGTATAAAACAATTAACTCAGTAATGAAAACATTGCAGATGACATCAAGAGGTAGCACGTTGGCATGTCCAGGATGGAAAAAATTGCAAATATGAAGGTCATTCAATAAATAACGAGACAAATGAATATATAACATATATTATTAATGATCACATAGCTATTTTTTCACATAATCTCCCTCTATAGCTATGCATTTGTCCCAGCTGTCTACAGTTTTCTTATTCCTGTCAAAAAATTCTTTCAGCTGACTCGGTTACAATTTGTTCAATTGCAATGAATCGGTTTCCCAAACATTTTTCACTCAATGTTCAGGTGCAATGTAGGTGTTAAGCTTGGACAGGTCGTCCGGCATGATCTTCGACCACAATGCTTGTTTGACCATTCTTGAATTGTTCAACCCACTTGTAAACGTCGCTCAATTAAATGCAATTGCCTCCACCTTGAAGTGACATTCTGCAATAAATTTTGCTTGGTTTTATCCCTTCTGAATTTATAAAACAAATAACAGATCGTTCTTCTTCCAATGTACAGTAGACCCTTACTATTCACGAGGGATAGGTACCCAAATATGGAGCGAATTGACAAACAGTAAATAGCAACTTACACTACCTTAGTGCACTACTGTATACCTATACCAAACAACCGACCAGCCCCGGCAGCACTCATCCCCTCTTTTAACTTATCTAATAATAAAACTTTCCTTGTCAGGGTCATCACTGACCTCTGCGCTTTACATTTCACTCCACTAGCACTGACACTAGGCAGTCTTTTAGGGGCCATTTCACACAGACACACTAAAGTTTTGGGAGTACTACACAAGATGCTACGTCACAGGCAATGATTGTGCGCAAACAGAGGGAGAGGAGATGCTGCGGGCACGTGGGGTAACTCGTTGTGCTGCAAGAAAAGGCTTGTAAGCCAGCCACCATCTGCTTAAAGCGAATCGTCGAAAACGCGAATCACAAACTCGCGAATGGCAAGGGTCTATTGCACAAAATTCAAGCAGAGCGCTCACCATTAATGCAACACTTACTCGAGACGTCATAGAAAAAAAAAAAAAACTGACGAAACAAGCGGACGAAAGTGTAGCTTATGCATGTCTAAATATGTCGTAACATGATCGCTGCGCTTTCCCCTCCCCCTTTGCCGTCTACATCAAAAAGTTTCGTTACTTATTGAATGACCATCCTATATTGTAGTTCGTAAATTGCAAACTCTTGTCACTTCATGGGATTTTCAGAAAGAATGCATTTATCTTCTATAGAATACACAACAGTATTACAAAGTCATCTGATTTGAGTCTTTCAGAAGTACAGTACAGTAAACCCTCGATATAACTTGGCAAGGATATGGTCTCCGAATGTATTAGTATAACTCGGGAAATGCCTGCGTCACCTACTACGATGCTTTATTCTTCGCCTGCAGTAGTGGTAAGCATTACTTTTTACATTTAGTAATTACATCTACACATACTGTATATGGCTCAATAATTTTTTATTGTCATATTTTTTGCAGGAGGGGGAAAATGCCACGATAAGTCGGAATTTGGGATAACTCGGCAAGGCCAGAGCCCCATATGTGCCGAGTTATCGAGGGTTTACTGTATATTATACTGTACACCAGTAAGATCCCCCCAAAATATATATAAATAGCGGATGGTTGTGCATTTGAAACAGCAACTTGAGAACATTTCTCTACAATTCTAAGAGAAAAAGCGAAGGTAAAAAAATCAGACGATAAACTTTTTTGTAATAAATTTTTTACTATGCGATTGCTCCTTCCAGGATGTTCTATTGGTTCCTTTCACAAACAGAAATTTTCTTTATTGAATTTGATGATAAATAATTATAACTAATAATTTAAATTTGGTTGCATTAGGTTAGATTCGTTCATATCATGAAAAAATAATCCTGGACCTTGCCTAACAATTCCAACAATTATGGTACAGTATTCCTGGCAACTGCTGGTCTATACCCACCACCCCAATAAGAACCTAACCTAAAATAATACAATTACAATCTATTACCATTCAAAAGAAAATCCTGTCTATTAAAGGAACCAATCAATTATCCTGGAGGTGTAGAAGGTAAACAGAGAACAATGGCATCAGAACTCGAGGCCAAACAATATACAGTACAAGCATTAGGATTCAGGATGGAGTTTTTTTTTTTTTAATTATACATTATAAAAAAATTTTCTGTCAACTTTTTAGGCATCTCAGGGGGAATGAAAGTGCAAGTTCAGGCATGCAACTGTCCTAAAAAAAAAATAAATAAAAAATCTACAAAATATACAGAGGTACAGTGCCAACAGATTAAAGAACAACTAATATTGTCACCGTCCAGATTTCCTAAATTAGCACCCAAAAATCGGTTCGACTAATTACCCAATGTACCTAAATGTAGCAAAACGTAATTTTATTTGAGTTAATAGATCACGTGCATGTACCGAGGGAGCGAGTAATTACCCAAATGTAGCCGCAATGAAGTCAAATAATGGTCCTACATGAATAAATCGGACTGCTAATCACTTCTCGACTAGTATTTGGTGTCACAAAGTCACAAAAAATTGGAAAACTTACTTTAATCTGAGTTAATAGATCGCGTGCATGTACCGAGGGAGCGCGTAATTACCCAAATGTAGCCGCAACGAAGTCAAATGATGGTCGTACAAGCGGAAATCGGGCTGTGAATCACTTCTCGATTATTATTTGGTGTCAGTCACAAAAAATTGGTAAACTTAATTTAATCTGAGTTGTGTTGTGTTAGGTTAGGTTAGGTTAGGTACATGCACTTGATCTATTAACTCAGATTAAATTAAGTTTACCAATTTTTTGTGACTTCGTGACACCAAATACTAGTCGAGGTTAGGTTAGGTTAGGTACATGCACTCGATCTATTAACTCAGATTAAATTAAGCTTACCAATTTTTTGACTGTGACACCAAATACCAGTCGAGAAGTGATTGGCAGTCCGATTTATTCATGTAGGACCATTATTTGACTTCATTGCGGCTACATTTGGGTAATTACTCGCTCCCTCGGTACATGCACGCGATCTATTAACTGAAATTAAATTACGTTTTCCAATTTTTTTTTTTTACTTTGTGACACCAAATACTAGTCGAGAAGTGATTGGTAACCCGATTTGTTTATGTAGGACCATTACTTGACTTCATTGCGGCTACATTTGGGTACATTTGGGTAATTAGTCGGACCCCCCAAAAATTGGTCATTTCACTTTCTCCCCACAAGAATATTAATTTTAGTATGGACAAAACAAGAGTTCCAAATCACAACCTGACAAAATTGATATGTCTACCCAAAACGATAATACCTTATTTTTATTTATTGTTGAAATTTTAAAAGATGGAGTTCTTGATTTTCTGCTCATTGCTAAAGCTGTAAAGGTCCTCTCAAGTACAACATATGCCCAATAAGGAGTTCCTTAGATTCTCCAAACAACTAGGTGCTATAAATGTCTCCTGTTAAATAACTTAATAAATATAAAGCTTACACATTACCCCTTATTGGCAAATAATTTTACCTTACTGCAACACATTTTTAAAAGAAAAATATCAAGAATCTTAAGTAGATTACATACTTTAAGAACCTAAATCAATATACCAGTAGGAAAGAAATTACGAGACTTCTTTGGATTGGCTACACATCTATTATTCAGATTGTTAACAAGAATTATTTTCAATGTATACTGTACCTAAACTACAGTACATTATAGTAATCTCTCAGGCCACATAGCTCTAAATTCTTGCACAAATTAGTTAAGGGCGACACTATGTATATTTTCAGGGGCTTATAACTTTAACAGTTAAAAATATTTGTAAATATATATGAGACGTGTGCATGTCCATGAATTTTAATTACCTCATGTACTCTCACATTCCATAAAATTATTAGGAAAAGTGCGTGACGTGTCGTCACTTGACCGATAAACGATGACGTCGATCAGCTGATTTGTGTCAACTACAGGGGGTGGGCGGATACTCATTGTTTCATATTACACTTAAGTAACGACAATAACTTGAAAATTATTAAAAGAGAATACTCACCTTTGAATAAATAATCATATTCGTCGTCCCTGTTCCCCATCTTTCACGGGTGAAATATGAAAAGTAAACAAAAGTAGTTCGTCGTAGGAAAACACTGAAACAAGAAAACAAAACCGACTTATCACAAATTTTCCAGCACCATGAAACAACTGATTCTATAATAAACCATGAACTACTATTTCCGCTTCGATATATACCAAGATGTCACAGAAATGAAGCGATAACACAGCGGAATCCTCCTCACAATAAACTAAGATGGCGAACCGTTACGCCTCTTCCAGTGCGCAGCCAACTGGTGAAGGTTTGCGCAGTGAGTCAACACACACCATGAAGGCTTCGATCACCCAAACACCACGATAAGGCGATTAGATTGTTATTATATTACATACAATCCTAGCCAATCAAAATCACTTTTCACATAATTATAAACAAAAATGTTAGTCATTACAAATTACAGTACTTAATAACACAGTAGTAATGCGGAGTTTCTCTGCCCGTACTGATAGTGTTTACGTCAAACTTCCGTACGTCTATTTGTTAGTATGCTACATGGCAACTGTTGTTGTTCCGTGCCTAAAATAAATATTAATACAGAAGTTTTAAAGGTTTCAAATCATACTCGTTTAAAACAAGCAACTTAGTAACACATTCCATGTACCACTGTACTATAAAGTATAAACGAAGGGTTACCTTTCGATGTCACCTATTTCGATTTCGCAATGACTTCTGATTATCCCACATGAATGGACATCTCATCTGCAAGATGCATAGATGTGCGGCATCACTATATGGAAGGTTTTCTTTAAAACCGGTACAAACTATGCAAAGGACACCGGTAGCGTTCCCCCAAGGATCAGCCTTTGGACCCACACTTTTTCCCTTGTTCATCAATGACCTTCCAAGAAGTACCAACCCAAAGCGCCAAACCTTCGCGTACTATACCGAATATTTCCGGAAAATGTGAAGAGAACGAAGGCTTGGTCTAGCGACAACAATAACTCTTCTCTTTTAATGTGACAAGCGCAAAACTCAACATTTTGGAACATAAATCTGAGGCGTTGCAACAAGGGGACTGAGTTTATTGCAACCGAGAATATAGGAGCCCCTTGTGTTAACGGATCTAAATTTTAAACAGCACATATGAAAATTCGCTGCACGGATATATAGTGGATGCTAGGTCATCTACAGTACAGAAAACCTTCCACTGTCCACCACAGTCCACACAGATGAACAAGGTTCCGTCTCGTTATACATAATATTCGTACGCCCCCACGAGGCGAATCTATGCATCATTTCCAATATTAATATTCTAGCCGTTCGTTTTTTTTTCTTAGGTACGACTTACGACCTGCTTGTCCAGTGTTCATACAGGAGGTGGAGTACTCGAAGATAACTTACTATATTTGGTAGAGGTCACACTGGATAACATCCTTCTCACATCCGGCCCGGGGATTTAAACCTGCAAGCACGCTATACCACTATACCAGACTTGGAATTTTGAAAAACAAAAACAAGGTTCTTGAAAATATTCAGACATGCTATTATAATGGTTCTCACTCTCATCGTGCTTGACTATAAAAAAATGTCTCTAACGACTAAACATTCCGAAGCAAGAGCCATAAACCAAGCAAAGATAGAGTGTAGAAGGGCTGAAAAGGAGTTCCAGAGGCTGGTTGCAAGCGAGGTCAAGTCAAACCCAAAGGCGTTATACCGCTATGCAAAGTCGAAATTAAAAACGCGAGTAGGAGTATCAGACCTGAGGCTTGAAGATGGTAGTTACGCAGATTCTGACCAGGATAAAGCTGAGGTATTGAACAGCTTCTTTTCCTCGGTGTTCGCAAGAGAGGATGCGATTAACCTTCCTGCGTTTGAGGACAGACGGTTCGCCACAGCAATGACCCACATTGTGTTCACAGAAGAGGGTATGAGAAATAAACTGTCAAATCTAAAGGTCCATAAGAGTCCCGGACTTGACATGGAGCATCCTAGAGTGCTAGAGATTATTCAACGAGCTTGCCGAGCCCCTGAAGATCCTGTTTTGTAAATGCCTGGATGAACAAAAGGTCCCCAGTGAATGGAAAGTGGCTTATGTGAGTCCTATCTTCAAGAAGGGCGATCGTCACTCCACGAACAACTATAGACCGGTGAGCCTGACCAGCATAATATGTAAAGTACTTGAGAGGTTTTATGCCGAGGGCTCCTGCTTAACACAATTGCTCAAGGTATTGGATATTTGGACCCATATTCTGGAACGGGGTGGTAATATCGACAATATTTACCTAGATTTTGCCAAGGCCTTCGACAGTGTACCCCACGAAAGGCTGAAAATCAAACTGGAACTGTACGGAATTCGGGGAAATGTCCTTGCGTGGATAGAAGACTTTCTACATGACCGCAAGCAGTGTGTGGTGATTAATCGCACGAAATCATCATCCGTACCTGTCACAAGCGGGGTACCACAGGGCAGTGTATTGGGCCCACTGTTGTTTGTTTGCTTCATAAATGACATGCCTGACGTTGTACACTCCTCCATACAAATGTTTGCCGATGGCGCCAAGTTAATTCGGGAAATCAAGAATCAAGCGGTCTGTGAAGAGCTGCAGAAGGACCTCTGTGGGCTCCAAGAATGGTCGAAGAAATGGCTGCTGAGATTCAATGTCACGAAGTGTAAGAGGATGCACCTGGGGCGTACCAACGGTAAGGAGGCGTATCATATGTCCCAACGGGATGCACTATTTGATACTGAATGTGAGAAGGACCTAGGTGTGTATGTTGAAAATGAGCTGAAGTTTTCGGGCCATTGCGAGAAGAAGGTAAATCTGGCAAATAAATTATTGGGTCTTATAAGAAGGTCGTTCAGATATCTAGATGGTTCGTCCCTCGTAACGATCTTCAAGAGTGAAGTGCATCCCCATGAGGAGTACTGTCACCCCGTCTGGCCCCCGAGATATGCTAGGGACTGTTAGTTGGTCAAAAATGTTCAAAGGAGGGCCACCAGACTGGTGCCTGCACTTCGGCACCTCAGCTACCCTGAGAGATTGGAGCGCCTGAACTTGCCTAGCTTATACTACAGACGGGCAAGGGGTGACCTAATTGAGGTGTATAAGCATCTCAAGGGGCACTACTCAGTCGAGTGTCCTTACCTGGAGCTGGCGGACGCTCGCCCCACAAGGGGTCACAGCTCAAGATTGAAGAAGCCGCAAGTCCAGAAAACTGTGAGGGCAAACTTTTTCGGAGTGAGAGTTGTGAACTCTTGGAACAATCTACCAGAAAGTGTTGCTACGGTACCAAGTGTGAGCTCTTTCAAGACAAGACTTGACCAACACTGGAGCAGGTTCAGGTACATTCAGGAGCCGGTGCATGCCCAGTACTTGCCAACAGTGCGTAACAGAGACGTGACCGATCGCCCAAGCGGCTAACGAGTCGATCATTTGGTGAAGAGGATAAAAGAAAAGGAAAAGTAACAGAGACGTGACCGATCGCCTAAGTGGCTAACGAGTCAATCATTTGGTGAAGAGGATAAAAGTAAAGTAAAGTGAAAGAAGCTGATAGACGAGTCGAGACTACACCATGCCAACACTTTGTTAAGAAAATGTATCTAGTTTAGTTTTGGTTCCACTTTGAACGTTATGTTTTAGTTTAGTTAAGTCAAAATGAGCAATGCGTTCTTACATCTCCATTTACGAAAAAAATAATTACGAACCTCTGAGAATCTGAGTCTAACACAATGCCATGGTGTCATTCGCAAATTCAACAGGACACAGGAAGCATAGGGGAAACAATTGTGTTACGCTCTTGCACAACAACAAACAAACTTGAAATTCCTCACCTGAACAACACCCTCACTCGGGCTGGTAGCATATATATATATATATATATATATATATATATATATATATATATATATATATATATATATATATATATATATATATATATATATATATATGAGGACAAATTATGATAGGCTACAACCAATTCTCAAAAAAATGAGGATATATGACAATAACTGGTTTGTTATAAATTAACGGAGCCCCTCATCAACTAACTTGGTGAATCCATCCTAACCTTAAAAGTTTTAAAATTACTTAATTGCTACTGTGAAAAAATAATTCAGAAAAACTTAACATGCAGTACCGTTGCTTTTATACCTACCTAAGTGTCCAGCTACTTCGCTACATTATCATCGTCGATATATAGCATTCTTAAACAGATTTAACTCATGAAAAAAAATGTGGTAAATGATCAGTTTAGCTGATAGTCATTTATAACAATATCTCAGACAGGAAACGCCTCGCTGAACAGGTTGGATGACGACGACACTCATCTGATTTCTCCCGGCGCTTTTTTTTCACTGATGTGTTTGCTTTAATTTCTAAAATGCAAATTGGGCGGGAGACCGACGGAAAACGAGAGTGAAAATCATTTTAGATTTTCAAGATTTTCATAGCCCGCCGCGGACCTCCTGTAAATCTGTCCATGTGCTTTAGAATGCTTGGTTCGTGTAGTCTGTTTCATAAATGGACTCACACTTTAGTCCTTCTTACCCCCACTGGACTTGCATTTTAGGCTATTATTTTTAGCACTTGAAACAAATGCTATATGTCTATAGCGAAGAAAATCCCACCAAAAATATCAAGCAATAGTGGGAGAGCTCAACTGCACGTTCATCATAATTAATAATACCCAAATACATAATTTCATATTTCTTCAAAGCTAACATATTAGACATAATTTGGTCTCAAATGTTACTTCCTATATCTTTTGCGGCTAATATGGAGGACTTCATAGCCGCTCCCCCCTGGCTCAGTAACAGTAAGTTCGCCCACGGCAGGTGTCAAGCTATGGTAGGTTAGGTTAGGTTAAGGTTAGGTTAAGGTTAAGTTAGGTTAGGTTAGGTTAAATTGGTTTAAGGTTAGGTTAGGTTGAACTTTTCAATAAGCACTTTTTAACATATTTGCCATAATTGCGACAGTGTTCACTATATAACGCTGTAAAATTGTGGCGTTTTTAAATTCATTTTCTATGAAAAAAATCGGCGGCTGCGAAGTCGTAAAAAATTTACCATACAGTATACTGGATCGGTGAGTAAAACGTTAAGTATGCTTACAGTTGCCTCTGAAGTTGATTGGCTCCTCCATCTCATCACAACAATACCGAAGTCGATATTCAGTGTATGCACACATTATATACAAATGTTATTGACACTTTAAACTACAAAATATAGCAGTTTTCGTTCCTTAATTGGAAGGCTGTTAGGATGTTTGAAGGTCGTACGGATCTGAACC